TTGTTCACATTCTGTGGTGTTGGTATGCCCCGTATCTTCACATACGACGCATCTTGGTATATATGTCTTCTCAGTCACGTTGTTGATCCTTTGAGTCTTCCTTTGTGGTGCGGCTGTAATAGGCGGTGTCATCTGTTCGGGCAGCGCGTAGGGTCCACACAGTTCTGCTTCCCTTTTGAAGAACTTCTCTATCTTGATGAGGCAAGGGTCTTCACGTGGCTGCATGGCTGAGAAGTCGTAGTACCTATAACGCAGAGTTGGCGTCAGTTTGTCTACTATTGTCTTCGCGAGTTCAGGATTGTACATGTAGTTAAAACAACCCAAAGTCTTCAGTGTCGCCACTACGTTGGAGATCTTGGTGGCGAATATGCATATGTCTCTTGGTGACTCAGTAAGGCGCGGCAGACCTCTAAGCGTCTCCATCTCCAGCATGGCTATTGACTCTGGTCTTCCAAATCTTGACTCCAAAGTCTTCATTACTTCAGCCGGGTGTTCGTTGGTCATAAGTAGGCCTTCAACTGCTTCCTTGGCCTTCCCTTTCAAGTTTCTTCTGAGTCGATTCGTATTTTCAACTACGCTGAATGTCGCTTCTGTCTCGTAGTAGGCGGCGCGAAAGGGTAGCCATTCCTGATGAGACCCGCTGAAGAATGGTAACTCGACGAACTTAGGTCGTTGGGCGGCGCTGACAGCCCGAGTGATGGCTTCAGCCAGGAGGGCTACGTCAGTTTGACCTCCCGCCGGTGACTGATGTGTTTCTTCGTGCCTTGGTTCTTCTGCGTGGGCAGCTGTTGGTTCTTCTATGGCATGGTGAGGTTCGTTGGTGATTGCTAACACCGGGCGATTCACTTGATTCTCCAACCAGTCGTCCACTCTTGTATTGACTTCTGATCTTGAGTAGAGGGATGCGTCATCTTCTTCTTCTCCTCTTCTGAGTCTTCCCTTTCTAAGGCAGCAAGGCGTGCTGCGGCTAATTCCACTTGAAGGCGTAGTAAATCTTCTTTCGCCTTTGCAAGCTTGAGCTGCTTCGTTCTACTGCGTGTAGATCCCCCTCCACCTCCCTTCTTGCTGGGCGGGCGGGGTTCCTGTAGCCCGGTTTGCTTTGATGGACCGGCGGTGCTTCTTATGGCTCGCTTCACTGTAGAAGTTTCTGTTTCTCGGTGAGTTGCTCTGGTGACAGTAGCGGGCGGCTTCATCAGCTGTTTGGCCTTCGCACCCGCAGTTAGTGTCGTCGCCGCGGATGGTGTTACGGAAGGAGCGACGGCGCTGGCAGGGTGCGTGGCGGGGGCGGCGGTTGCGGCTGAGGCTGAGGTGGCGGCGGACGAAGTGGTCGCTGCGGTGGCGGAAGTCACGGTGGATGGATCAGTCGCCGCGGAGGTGTCTGTATACTCCGAAGTCTCCGTGGCGGTCGTCCCTGTAGCTGTTGATTCCGTACTGGCTTCCGCACTGGTGGTACCGGTCGCCGAGGTGGTAGCCTTGGACGACGACGGCTTGCTGCCCCTTCCCTCAGAGCGCGTAACGGCCATGCTGTCAGCTGACTTTTTCTTCGAATAATCTTGAGTCTTGAAAAACGATTTCCGAGGAGTCTTCTTAATTATTTTTCTTCAGGTAATTATTCCCCACAAGATTCGGCTGGCGAAGGACCATTAAATGTGCCCTACAGGCACATTTGTGTGCTGGATTGGTGGAGAATAAAACCGCTGCGATATTTTTCTTTCTTCTATATTTGGTGTTTTCCTTGAGGTAGCTGGCCGCCGACTGTGTCGAACGACGAAAATCGCCCCTCTTTTATACCGCCTCGGGCTGGGTCAATGGATACGGCCGACGCATCGTACAAATGGCGTCGACCAATCAGCGCGAGGCGTGACAGAGCAAGTGACGATGCTGAGTCCCGTTACATTGTTTGTCTTAAGCTAATTCTATATCTTACTGAGTCATTGTTTACATTGTTTACCTTAAGCTAGTTCTGTTATACAAAGTGACCAACTAATTTTATTACACAAATATAAGCTCTACACTATTATTTTCTTAACATAAAATGCTTATATCCTATCTAAACTATAATCTCTATTAATATAAATGTTTATCCTATCTAAGTACAAACTAACTATAATATTTATTCCATTAATATAAATGTTTTTGTCTTATTTATGTATCACTATTTGTTTTTCTCTTGTCCCGCACAATATAATTACAGTCACACACATATATATTAAACTATTTCTATTTATTATAGTAAATTTTATTTCAGTATTGTATAATTTTCGGCGCCGGCCGGTTGAAGTAAATTGGCAACAAACATTCGTTTTACTTTTATTATGAACGCCATGTACCTGAGTACTGCGCCTACGTCGCGATATGTTCATCGGCCAACCAGTCGCAATCTAGCCGTCTGACGCGAATTCTGTGCCGCTTGCGTACCCGCCTCGTGGGGGCAAGGGCGGGTTATGTCGGACTCGCACCGACTAAAACCCCATGGTGTTCCACCTTCGTCGTATATTGCCAGGGCCACGGGAACGCTTTCGCACACTGCATTTTGTCTTAAACAGTTTTTTTAAATTTTTTTTAACAATTTACCAGTATTGCAAACTAAAAAGAACGACTTCACAGTATACTGAACTGACGTCACACCTTACAGTGTCACAGTGTATATCGGAACATACGTAATATTTTGAAATGGCCGATATATTATGGTACGCCGATGACACCGCGGTCATTTTTCACGGGTCTTTACAGCCATATGAAAAGCGTATACGAAGATGCCGGAATAGTTATTGTACGTCAACTTTTTGTGCTAAATACGTCTTTACAGTATTTAAATACATATTATCTTCCCATGACCACAAATTACTGAAAAATCGCTGGGTAAACAAATTATCCGCACTATCTGTTAATACTAACTTTGCTCAACGTATTGGCGATTTTATTAAAAGGCTAATGAACATTAAGTTTGTAAAATAATGTGACCGTACAAATACCTATATATTTATTAAGACATATGATATATAACAGATAACTTTATTATAAGGAAATGGCTAGGTCACTATACAATGTCAAGACACAGAAGAATTGTTATAAACTAGCTGTTACTAATTAAATAGATATATTTAATTAGTAAGAGCACTTGTTTCACAGTTTCGACTAATAGTTCACATGCGCAGACACTTAATACACAAAATCGCACCACTTTTACATATCAAAGTCCACTTCAAACCATTATTTAAACAATAAAACAGGAGCAGCAAACCGCCGCCGGTCAAGTTCCCGTCAAAACTCTATAAATTTAGTAATTATATTCTCTTTGGTCGAGTATATCTGTTACTGATTACTGTCAATATCAAAAGTTCCATTTCAGGTATTAATTAGTGATTTATGAATATTTTTAGAAAATTATATTAAATATTTCGACGTAGCTCCGGCAACTAAAATTGCATGGGGGCGCTTGAGATAAGCCCCCTTGAACCCCCCACAGTGACAGACTCCTCAAATTCAGGCGACTTGATTCTAAATCCAAACCCCAAAAAACTATTAACGTGAACAGCATTAAAAAACTAACATTCAATCGCCTAGAACCCGCTAGCTCCGACTACGTTCTGCCCCGGTGGCACCTCGTGATTGTAGGTAATTATTTCACGCAGGCTGTAGCAAGAGTGACAGAGGTCTGTCCTAACAGTTTACGTCATAGCTATTATATACTCTTTGTATACTGACATTTTGTAAGGTCAAAGGACTTTTGGCGGGAACTTGAACGGTGAAGGATTGCTGCTCTTGTATTATTGTTTAAATAATAGTTTGAAGTGGATTTTAATATGTAAAAGTGGTGCGATTTTATGTATTAAGTGTCTGCGCATGTGAACTATTAGTGGAAACCGTGAAACAAGTGCTCTGATAGTGATGTGATTCTCAAGATTATTTAGATTATCTATATATATATATATATATATATATATATATATATATATATATATATATATATATATATATTATCAAGCCTCATTTAGATTATTTGATTGAGGTGTGGGGCTCAGCCACTGAATCAACCCTGCAAAAACTACAAGTAACACAAAATAAAATCATAAAAATATTATTCCAATATAAGTATTTAACACCTACCATTCAAATATATAAAGAAACAAAGTTATTTAACCTAGCCCAAACGTACAAATATAAAATATGCATTTTTATTAGAAAAATACTAAAGATACTCACTCTAAAATATCATTTACAAAAAAGATAGATTACCATAAACGTATGACAAGGCAGGCTAATAACCTATGTTTGAGAATACATAGAACAAACTATGGAAAAAAGAGTATCCTCTACGAGGGAGCTCAACACTACAACAAATTACCTAAAAACATTAACCACTCAAGACTTTGACAGTTCATTAAAGAAGCAAAATCCCTGCCCACATTTAAGAAATTACTAAAAAAGCACATTTTAAAGGATTTTTCATAATAATATTCACAAACCACTGATCTAAATATATGAAGTACACATACAACGTAAATAATAATATTTACCATAAAACAATTGCACATTCATTCACACTACCCTGTTCCTGGTAATTATTACTAAATCAGGAATTAAGTTTTAGCGACCTATTATAATACTAACTCACTACGCCTATCGGCTCAATGTTTTTAATTAATAAGTATTTTCTCTGTAAGTGATTTGTAAATCTTTTCAGAAAATAAATGTCTTAAACTATAAGATAAGGACACTATCGCCAACTGTCAGCTGTCTGCTGGCTGAAGTTGCCGTCAAAATCTCCGAAGGGCTGCACAATGTGACGCATCAACATATTGTGGAGCAGTGTACTATGAAGGATAATTATACATTCTAATTTCATGCACAGAAGGGCTAGAACCCAGAGCCGTAAAGCGAGTTATAAAAAAAATGAAAGGTCAAAAAGGTTATTTACGTCAATGAAGAATTAGATTGCGGTAGAGAATTTTTTGCCGGTGTTTTAATTAAAATAATATATTAAAAGTAAAATCACAATGGCAGCAAAATACAAGATTGTTATGGTTCGCCATGGTGAAAGTGAATGGAATCAGAAAAATCTATTTTGTGGGTGGTACGATGCTGACCTTAGCGACAAGGGTAAAATAAAATCTATTCATAACTATGAAATATTTTTTCTATTTCTTTTTTTTTTAAATGATTTTGTTATTAGGTCGTGAGGAGGCTGTAGCGGCTGGGAAGGCTCTCAAAGCTGAGGGTTATCAATTTGATGTTGCTCATACATCGGTCTTAAAAAGGGCTCAAATAACTTTAAACACCATTCTTAAAGAAACTGGTCAACCTGACCTGCCCGTAAATAAGACTTGGCGCTTGAATGAAAGGCACTATGGTGGCCTTACTGGCCTAAATAAAGCTGAGACTGCTGCCAAGTATGGTGAAGCACAGGTATATCATTTTTATATTTCTGTCAAATATACTACATAACAACAATGTTTTTTGTTTTAATTTTAAAAAATTAATATAACAGGTTCAAATTTGGAGGCGAAGCTTTGATATTCCCCCACCTCCAATGGAGAAAGATCATCCCTATTATGACACAATTGTGAATGACCCTAGATATGCAGGAGACCCAAAGCCTGAGGAGTTCCCCATGTTTGAGAGCTTGAAGCTAACAATTGAAAGGACTCTTCCTTACTGGAACAATGTAATTGTTCCTCAGGTGGGTCTCACTAATATGCTTTTTTGATTGAAATAGTTTATAACAGCATATTTTGGGAATGTAAATGTATAATTCTTATTTATTTTCAGATTAAAGAAGGCAAGAGGATAATTATTGCTGCCCATGGCAATAGTCTTAGAGGCATTGTTAAACATTTAGACAGTAAGTTATTAGAACTATTTGTTTATACAAAAATTTAAACAAAATTCATGAGTAGTGAATTTTAAGCAGCGGGTAGTTTTTTTTTATAGGATCGGTTGACAAACGAGCACACAGTCCACCTGATGGTAAGTGGTTACTGTGACCCATAGACATCTATATGTAGGTCAATAAAGACTCAAGATGCAGATGCGTGGTCACCCGTGAGAACTAAGATGGAATGTCTCTTTGCCAGTAAAAAGGGTCTCCGGTTCTCTACACTCACCATACGAAACACAGCAGCGTTAAGCTGCTATGTTACGCTGGTTTTCTGTGAGAGCGTGGTCCTTCCCCGGTCGAGCCAAACCATTCATGCTACAACCATAATATAGCTGCAGCATGGCTCTACCACGTAGAAAGTGTAGAGTAAATACTCTATAGTGACAGCATAAGAATATCCACTATCCCATAATAACTGGTTGTTGTCTAAGAGCAATGTGACAGGAAATGGGCGGTGTCATCTTTCATGATAACAACTTAAAATAAAAATAAAATACATGTGTGTATTTCTCGTGCAGTAGAAGTTAAACCTTCAGAATAAGAAACCAAGATCTATCTCATTCATTTACAGTCTAAATTCTGTAGATGTATATGTTTGTCTCTTTGTTGTTTCAAATCAATGATTCTAAAGAAGTCTTCACTTCAGTAACCAAAGCTGGTCAACCTGTTTGCCAAGTATGGCAACTATAAAAAATATCCCTCCTGTGAGGTTTTTTTTATAGGATAGGGTGACAAATGAGCACACAGTCCACCTAATGGTAAGTGGTTGCTGTGACCCATAGACATCCACATCTATCCTCGGTTACAAATCAAAATGCAGATTCGTTGTGTCCTGTGAGGACTAAGATGGAATGCCTCTTTTCCAGTAAAAATGGTCTCCAGTTCTCTACACTCACCATACGAAACACAGCAGTGTTAAGCTGCTATTTTGTGAGAGCGTGGTCCTTCCCCGTTCGAGCTGACCCATTCGTGTTACAGCTATATAACTAATATAGCTGCCGCATGGCTCTACCACGTTAAACTTAAAACTTTAGGGATTGCCATGTTCTGCATTTAAGCTGAACGTCCACCGAAAACTAAACTTAGTTTATCTTAGCTCGCATAGCTGAGCCAGTTTTTCATACATGTGCATCCACTGCCTTCTAAGCTACGTAAAATAACCAAACTAAGTCAAACTTACTAAGATAAGCGCCTCTCGCCCCCTTACCTTTGGTGCTTTTTGCTATGTGTTATTTGTTTTAGCTTATTTTTCAGTAGATGTGCAGCAATTTTCCAGGTTAGCTTAGTTTAGTTCACTGAGCCTAGTTTTCACATAGTTTTGTTTGTGATGGACATTCAGCTTTATACTTTTGATAGATGTAATGAAGATGATGTGAGCTAATGTTAACTCACTAGTAATGCTACGTCCTATCACCAGTTTGTGAAATTTGAGTCCAATGTTTTTAGATGGATTATCTGCCATCAGTCAATTACTAGAACCTTGATTACCAGCTACTTGGGTGTAACAGGTGCAGGTCGAGTTGGCAAATAAAGAAGTTGGTATAATTTCCCCTTACATCCCAATTATTGCCTACAGAATTTACTAAAATGAGATTTTAATATTATATTATAGATCTCAGCGACGCTGCCATCATGGAACTGAATCTGCCTACTGGAATTCCATTTGTGTATGAATTGGACGAAAACATGAAGCCCGTTGATTCTATGGTCTTTTTGGGTGATGAGGAAACAGTAAAGAAGGCCATGGCTGCTGTTGCTGCTCAAGGCAAAGCAAAGTAAATGTATCTGATAATAGTGAGAAAATATATACAATAGGCTAATATTTATTATGGAAATTACCAGAAATCACTTTATGTGTTTATAGCTTTAGTATAAAATTATTATACTGCTAGTAAGAGAATGTAATAGTGGTTGAATATATACTCTATATAATCTAACCAGCTTACTGCTAGTTTGATTATTGTAATATTTTAATCTAAAAAAGTTTGGATATATGCCAGGATGCATAAAACTTTAAATTTATCTTTATTTTACACTCTTGTGGAGAGTAAATAAAACATTATAAGAGTATTAGCTACTTTTATTTTTAACACTTACATCAAGGTTGATGAGGAAAAAATTCAATTTAACAATAAATTTCACATACTAGATGAGCGACTGACATGAGCATTTGCTGGATGTAAGCATGTTACAATTACAAGTCAAATATCCAACATGTCAGTACAGTGAGCCGAAGACGAGCGCCGAGCACCCAAGCACGCTCCAATCGGCTGTTGGGTTTTTGGCGAATCCCTTTGAATGTTACAAGTTTGTCGCTAGCGCGAGCACCGTCGGGAGTGCACTCATTGCTCTGTTTGTATCGTGGTATTTTTGTGTTTAGTAAAATGCAGTGGAGTCAGGATCAAACAATTATTTTCAATCTGGCAGCTTTATTTCTCATTTTGAACAAATTTGTTGTGCAAATATGCTTTCTTTTTTTTTTTAAGTAGCAATAATGGATTAAAAGGAATGCAGCACACACAAGCACAGTCTAGCATTTATTTGTCACAAAGGCTCAGGTGACGGTGATCAGGCAAATATCCACATTGAGCAAATGCTCATCTCAGTCACTACCTTAAATACTATCATCATCATCTTATTTTAGCTCAAATTAGGGTTAAAATGTTATATTGAGCAAGAGATTTTTATGTAATGTATTTTCAATTAATATAAATAATTATAACAAGTTTCTTTATTTCTTTCTTACATCAAGATGTATATTGTTAGCAGTGTAGTTAGACCTTCCAGTAAGTACAGTATAAGATAAACATTAGAACCAAACATTTTGTTAAACACATGGTGCTTCTAAAAGAAGTACAAATATTGAAATATTTACAACAGAATGTAAAACAACAGACAACATTACTTATTGTAGTTATTCTTTAAACACAAACAAAATATAACTTCCTATAATTTATAAGTTAATATCAGATCCCATGCAACAGCAGAAGTATTGTTGTTCTTCAAAATCTCTAGTCTATAACACTTTAAGAAAGGTAAGATACGTTTTTGTGGGTTTTAATAATTGTCGGACTGTCCCATAGAATCCACAATATTTGGCTACTGTACTAATTGGTACTGTTTGGTATATTACCTGTGATATTACCAACTTCTTAAACTCTTTAGTTCAGGTCACTATGTGGACAAATTTTTCTCCATATCTGGCACTTCATCATCCATATTCATTGAATTGAGATTTGTGTTATCCACTGTTGACTTTTTACAATTCTTTGAAAATGCCTTTTGCTTACTGTTACTAAATGAAAACTTTTTATTTTCTAATGGCTTACTAGTTGCTACGTCAACATCCATAGACAAATCTGGTTTATTGGTAAATTTTGGAGTTTTGGGTTTCTGATCAAATCTAAAATCTTTTGGTAGTTTGTGAACTTTCACACAGTGGTCTAAGCGCTCATCTGTGTTTTTAAATTTTTCTTTACACTCTTCTATGTAACAGCAATACTGTAAAAGAACATTATATTATAGTATTTAAAGCTGTATTGTTGTTATTTTAAAATTATTTTAAATATGACAATAACCACTTCTAAAATAAGAATTTATTTTTAATTAATGGATCAGGTAGGTTTTCTTTTGACATAATATATTAAAATAATAATTATAGGCTATGTGAAATTCCATCTTAGTCCTCAAAATGAGGGTGTCCACGACTTATTCTGCCACCAGGGCGGTGCCACTAGTAAGTGCGATATAATATTTAAGACATTTCAAAGCGGAGAAGTTAATTTGTTCTAAAAATGAAAAGTTTATTGTTTCTTTCTGCACTATTAGCTATATTTTATATTAATAAGATTAAAAATAAACCAAACCACAGATATTCATAAAAGTAGAAAAATTAAAAAAATGTGCAAAAAAATTAAGAGCAAACCACTGACGCATTGTTTTGTGTATTCATTTATTACTCTAGAAACTGATAAAACTTTTATTTCTCTTTTTTTTTAACTTCTCAATTAAATTACACTGTGTAACAAAAAACTTTACCTCAGTTTCAACTAGCGACATCTGGTGAGCAGAAAATTATTAGCCCGCATTAACTACGAATCTTTTTTTTTGTTTTTTTGTCACTCAAATTTTAGATAAAAATATTAAAAAGGTTATTTCTTAATATAATCAATTATTTTTGTAGAAGTAAGAGTGACGAACAAGCACATAGCCCACCTGATGACAAGTGGATGCTGTGGCGCATAGGCCGCTATATCTATTTCTTAGGCTAATATATAGTTATCTGTGTATCTATTTTATGATGGCGTGTTTCTACCTCGGTTGAGCTGATCAATTCATGCTGCAGTGTGACTGGCCAAAGAAAGAGAGACAGAGCGCTGGGCACATATCGAGTCATGTACACACCATACATGTATAATTTAAAATTTAAAATTTTGTACAGCCAACTTCAATATAAGTTATTAAGAATATGTAACTCAAAAACTATTGGTCTGACCTTGATCAAATTCGTATAGGACCACACGAGACGTACCAGCTTTCAAATAAAAAAAGAATCATTGAAATCGGTTTACCCAGTAAAAAGTTATGAGGTAACACACATAAAAAAAAAACATACAGTCGAATTGAGTAGTCTCTTTTTGGAAGTCGGCAGTAAATTATTTGCAACGAATGTCGGTTTAGGTGCATATATTGCGTCTAATGAACTTTTAAGAGCTGTTTAAAAGAGAGAAGATGTAAGTCAGAGTTAATGTCAAGAAGTTGAGCATGGTTTCGGTGTTAATATAAATAGTCTGGTGTTTTTATTGGGCTGAGAACAAACTTAAAAAAATAAATACTTTTTTAAAACAGTAAGGGCGTCATTTAACTTAAATCGCCTGCTTATGCAACCTACTGAAAGAAAGGGCGTAATCGTAGAATACAGATATTGTCCCAGTGTATTAATATTAACAGACTTAAACAGGTTGTGGTACATAATATTATAATTCATCGTTGACGCCGCAAAGGGTCGAACCTCAATTTTTCAAAAAATTACAGGAGAGAAAGAAAACATTTATTATTCTCCGATTACTTGATTTTTTCATCAGAAAATTAATCTTATTTGTAGTTTTTCAATAAGTCTAATATATTTAATTTTCTGATGAAAAAAAAAGCTAGTAATCGGGGAATAATAAATGTTTTGTTGCTGTCCTGTAATTTTTTGAAAAATTGAGGTTCGATCCTTTGCTAATGTTTGACGCGATAATGCGCAAAAAAGCCGCATCGCTACTAAGCAGAACAAGGAATAGCTCCAACAGTATCCTGGGTGTTATAGCACAAAAACATGACGTTTTTACGTTTATACGTGGTAGAGCCATGCTGCATCTATATTATGGTTGTAGCACGAATGGGTCGGCTCGACCGGGGAAGGACCACGCTCTCACAGAATACCAGTGTAAAATAGTAGCTTAACGCTGCTGTGTTTCGTATGGTGAGTGTAGAGAACCGGAGACCCTTTTTACTGGAAATGATGCATTCCATCTTAGTCCTCACGGGTGACAACGCATCTGCATTTTGACTCTCAATCGAAGATAGATGTAGATGTCTATGGGCCACAGCGACCATCAGGTGGACTGTGTGCTCGTTTGTCACCCTTATCCTATAAATAAAAAATGACTGTAATAAGGCAAATTATTAACGTCCTGCATGGCTGACTTACTTGTGTGTGTATGTATGGCTGCGAGCGCGCGCGCGCGCGTGGGTGTGTGTGTGTGTGTGTGTGTGGGTGTGCGTGTGTGTGTGTGTGTGTGTGTGTGTGTGTGTGTGTGTGCGGGTGCGTGCGTGTGTGTGTGTGTGCGTGTGTGTGTGTGTGCTTGCGTGCGTATGTGCATGCGTGAATGCATCCGTGCGTGCGTGTCATTTTACTTTCTCAGTCCACCTAGCTGTACTATTATTATTATTTTGTGATTTTTCTAATATCTGTGATATGGATCTCATTTGTTATCCGAAATAAAGATTTATTATTATTATTATTTGCGGCGTTAGTGACGAATTGCATCAGAAAATGTTTCTTCAATATCTCCATCTAATCAGAGCCGTGGTAGCTCAGGGACTCAACGCTCGCTGTAAATTTCGCAGAAGGAGAGAAACCCAGGTTCAATCCCCGCCAGCATCAATTAAATTGTTAAATATCCATGTGAAAAAGCTCACAGTAACTCAGCCTGAGCTATGCTCGGAATTTATCTGTGTGATAAAATCCATAACGAGTATATTAACTCGGCAGATCAGTAGGCTTAAGTGACAATGGCTGGCTATCTAGATCGAAGAACTGACAAGCGATGGGAAAGAAAGGTTCTCGAGTGGCAGCCCCATACTGGCAAACGCAGTGTTAGGCCGACCTCCACTTGATGAAACATGTAGATTGTCGATGGTGGTGGCTAAGGACCGTGCGCAGAATCTTTGTAGGGGGTCTATGTTAACAGTGAACAATGGACTGTAATGAAGAATAACCATTACTGACTCATTAACTTCACGTTTGTAAATAGTTATAAGTATTGGAAAAATGTAAGTCTAACTTTCAACACATCTTCAGGTTTTGTGGTAGGTAGAGTTCGATAATACTGATTTTCAAATACCTGTGTATTTAGAGCAGTTGCATATTTCTGAGTACCTATTTGTAAATTTTTTTCGCTTATCTCGAGAAGAATTGAGTAGATAAGCGCATAACGGTGGCTTACACAATGTTGTGGCTATTATCTACTTCGGTGACAGTATCACGTAAGATATTATCTAGATATTTCCAAAAACTTTATTTGCGTCTAATAATCTACTAGATAATGCCGTTCATATTTGAAACCAAGGAGGAGCATAGCCTTTTTAACTGAGTACCCCAAAAGAAGGATGACGTTTTACAAATTAATGTTTGTATTTATACATTTTGGTCCCTATGTTTATTTATTGTTTCGGTTATGGATGTTTGTCTTAGTGAAATTTATTTATTTCAGCCCCCTCGATACAGGAGAAAATCCTAGTGTGGAGGTGAGGTTTAAAAAAAAAGAATAAAAAGAATTTATGATCAACATCATCAGAAGAGAAATATATGTTTTATGGTCATTACAGATTTCCAACTAGGATTTACATTTTATTAGTTTGTATTAATAATTCTACAGACATTATCACGTGTGTATATGTTGATTATGTGTTCCTTTGTGACCTATAACTTAGATATAAGTAGAAGATCATGTCGTAGAGCCATGCTGCAGCTATATTAGTAGTATAGTTGTAGCACGAATGGGTCGGCTCGACCAGGGAAAGACCACGCTCTCACAGAATACTGAGTAGTAATAGTGAGTTTAGAGAACCGGAGACCCATTTTACTGGAAAACAGGTATTCCATATTAGTCCTCACGGGTGACAACACATCTGCATTTTGATTCTTTATTAAGGATAAATGTAGATGTCTATGGGTCACAGCAACCACTTACCATCAGGTGGACTGTGTGCTCGTTTGTCACCTTATCCTATAAAAAAAAAGATATCTTTAGATACGTCTTCATCTCCGGAAAGTCATAGAATAAGTATATTTTATTGTAATCGATAATAATAATATTATAGAGGCGGTAGAGATAACGTAGCGCTTCTCTCACCAGTCACAGTCAGTCATTCGAACGCGCCGTTCGGTAAGTATAGGCTCGGATTAAACGAGCCACCGCACCGGCCACATCACCAGCTAGCGGCAAGCAGTCCACATGTTTTTCATACGTCTTGTACTAGTATGGATTTGCCCAACACGTGTGGCCATTGGCGGTCACTTGCTATAGCAGTGCCTCCGTCACGCCACTTGTGGCCGCCAAGAGTCGCACAAAACACCGACTCTCGTTACTGAAGCATTGTTTTATCATTAACATTACATCCCATTAAAAGTTCACTGCTGCACAGGCCTCGCCTGTAAATTGCTTCATAGGAGGGATATTTGTCATAGTTGCCATGCTTGGCAAGCTAAGTTTTTTATCTTTATTCAGCTGTTGTCAGGAAAATGCCGCTGCACATCGCCTGGTTCAGCTTCGCTCTGTCGTCTCTTAATAATACGATAATATCCTCCAGACCAACTTTCGGTCAAGTTGACCAGTCTCAAAAGAGACTTGCTATCTCAAGTGTATGCGCAAGCACAGGTGCACTCTCTATTCCCTCACTCTCATAGTCCGATGGGACGGTAACCCGACACGATCGAAGAGAGATCAGGCGCAGGACCTACCACTTTACATGCTTTCCAAGAATAGAACAGAATGATTTTTATTCAATATTGATTATTACATAATACTTATTGAAAGACATTTTTAATTTATCACTGGTTCGGAAAATACCTCTGTACTGGGAAGAACCAGCAAAAAACCCGGCGGGACTTTTTTTTAAACATAATTTCACTTAACAATAACTTTGTTTATTCAATTTTAAATGAATTTTCATAGAACCAGCATGGTGGCGATCACCTTATTCCCTTAATTGATATTATAATAACCCTTTGTGTACAGTTTTTTCATTAATAAAACATTTAAATTAAGACGAGGCACGGGGGTGAACACCGACAACTTCCCGACTTCGGGTTGCTACTTTTTTCTTTTTCATATCTTGACAGAAAACCCAATGACTGATTTTGGCTCGATCCAGGATTCGAACCCGAGCCCTCATGACCAATAAACGCGTTTGCATCCACTACGCCAACGAGGCTGTCCCGTGCGTGTCGCCTCTTACGGTATCCACGAGATGACGTCGCTTAACAAATTAATCGATCCGTTTCCCCTTCCATTGGTACATACCGAAGGTTTCTTGGCGGCCATAACTGCGAAAAAAGAATCGTGTTTCTCCTGCAGATGCAGATCGAGGAGATGAGGCGAAGGTAACATCTTCTTACATTGACCACAAGCATATCTGTGGCACGCGTTATAGTGATTCTCGAATTCAAGCAGTGAGTCCGCGACGAATGTGCAACCGGTGACGTTGCATACCGTTGGGATACTGAAAAAGTTAGAAAAAGAAATATTAATTTGTAACGTCGCTGTCTTTTTTAAATAAACAAATAATAAGTTGCTCTCACAAATTCAACAGTAAGTATAAAATATAAAATTCAGTTTAATATTGGGTTTGCTATTTTCTCTCCCAAAGGCTAAGCCTATGGCCGTTCGGTCAAGTTGATTCACTTTTAAAATATATTATAAATGTTTTTATTATAATTTTTTTTTATATCTTTTTATAGGATAAGGGTGACAAACAAGCACACAGTTCACCTGATGTTAAGTGGTTGCTGTGGCCCATAGACATCTACATCTATCCTCAATTACGAATCAAAATTCAGATGCCTTTTCACTCGTGAGGACTAAGATGGAATGCCTCGTTTCCAGTAAAAAAGATCTCCGGTTCTCTACACTCACCATACGAAATACAGCAGCGTTAAGCTGCTATTTTACGGTGGTATTCTGTGAGAGCGTGGTTCTTCTTCGGTCGAGCCGACCCATTCGTACTACAACTATACCAGTAAAATAGCTGCAGCGTGGCTCTACCACGTATAAATAAATCATCGTAAAAAATAATCCATTTTTAATGTTTGTAATTTTTTAACCCTTTAAATGACTACCGTGTTACCGAGTTTGTATTATTTAGCTATTATTGGTTTATTTCAGTAGCATGTTACTTATTTAAGATTCTTAAGCTGTTGTTGTTTTTTCACAAGTGGAAAAATTAAGATTTTTGTACAACCGACTTCAATATAACTAATTTAAAATTAAAAAATTTGTACAACCGACTTCAATATAAATTATTAAGTTTAACTCAAAAACTATTGGTCAGACCTTAATCGAATTTATATGGGACCACATGTGAAGCACCAGTTTTTAAATAAAAAAAGAATCATCGCAATCGGTTCACCCAGTAAAAATTATGAGGTAACACACATAAATAAAAAATTACAGTCGAATTGAGTACCGTCTTCTTTTTGAAGTCGGTAGTTAAGTTAAGTTTTTATTTGAAAGCTGGTACTTCTCGTATGGTCCCATATGAATTTGATCAAGGTCAGACCAATAGTTTTGAGTTATTCTTAATAACTTATATTGAAGTCGGTTGTACAAAATGTTTAATTTTAAATTATATGTGATAAATTCACATGAGAAGCACCAGCTATCAAATAAAAAAATAAAATAAGTCGGTCGCGAAACCGCTTTTCGTTATACAGGGCGTAACGCGTAACAAATGTAGATTCTTCTCGCCTTACCGTCCAAAGTCCTTGAATGGACGTTAGTAAGATGCTGCAGAAGTGTCGTCATCAATATTTGATAAAGAACATTCGAAAAATTAAACATTAGTTTGTCTCGGAGAAACAACTTTTTTTAGCAATAAGAACGTCAATTGTACCACATTTCTTTTTGTTCCTTTTTTTTTTCATATTTATGTTTTGGCGTTTTCAAGAAAAATGGCTTTTCGGATAATAGTCGACAAACAAAAAGTTGCGACGATAGACCGAATGCTGCCATGTCCCGTTAAATTCGTATGCAACCCAAACCAAACCTTAGGTACTACACATACGAATTCCCCGCAAACCATTTATGACTTTACGTATATGTATTTGTTATAGCAGATAAAAAAAAATTGTCATTACAGCCTGTCAAAGTTGCTGAACAAAGGCTGTAGCCCTGTTTATTTGATATTGGTCGCAGACGTTCACGGGCAACAGTAGCCACCTTGCTACATATATATTTATCTATGGTAGCCACTTAGTATGACATGGACTGTAATTTCGTTTGTTGCTACAGTTTTATATAAAAAAAAAGTTTTATTCACCATTTTTTCTTTACCAGCCAGTAACAGTCCATAGCCGGGCATAAGGTGATACACGTAACAAATGGATTGGCGATGTGTTATGTACTAGATATCTCTAAGTTCTTCAAGCAACTTACACTTCATGGCACAAGTCTTCTTCATCGATGTCGTACACACCTAACCGAGCGGGCGGTTTATCCCCCACAAATAGCTCGTCGTGAAGTTTACGGTGTCCGATGCCATATGCTTTCATTTTCTTCAAAATGGGATTCGAGTTCATTTTTCCTGTTTAGTTTTGAATCTGTTAATTATTAATAAATTATCTGTTAAAATGTTGCTATTAAAGTCCACTGCTGAGCATAGGCCTCCCCATAGATTGCCTCATAAGGAGGTATTTGTCATAGTTGCAACCGCAGTGTTCTTATTTTGTAGTTGTTATTAATAATAACCTGCTCCCATCATCATCATACGTGGTAGAGCCAAGCTGCAGCTATATTTATAGTATAGTTGTAGCACGAATGGGTCGGCTCGACCGGAGAAGGAAACGCTCTCACAGAACACCAGCGTAAAATAGCAGCTTAATGCTGCTGTGTTTCGTATGGTGAGTGTAGAGAACCGGAGACCCTTTTTACTGGAAAAGAGGCATTTAATCTTACTCCTCACGGGTGACAACGTATCTGCATTTTGATTCGCAAACGAGGAGAGATGTAGATGTCTATGGGTCTCAGCAACCACAAGTCACAACCATCAGGTGGACTGTGTGCTCGTTTGTCACCCTATTTCTATACAAAAAAATCTGGTTTTTATTTTATCTGTCGCCTCTTACGACACCCACGAACCGACATGAGGTAGTGGATGTTCTTACACCGCCACTACACAGTTGTCAGTTTTTGATACTTTGCCACGCCCGCAATTATATTATGGTTGTGGTACCAATTGGACGGCTCGACCGGGACCACGCTGTTACAGAATACAGCGTGCTATTTCATGCTCGTAATCTGTGATAGCGTGGTCCTTCCCCGCTTAATACTGCAGTTTCGTATGGTGAGTAGATTTAATAGTGAAGATACAGATTATGATAATCGTTTGGGGTGAAAACCGACCCGTAGTCTCATTGTTGAATGTTCATAACATCTGGAGTGCAAGTTCATTTTTCTTTCTACATACTTCATTTGCATTTTTATGGTTATTTCGTAATTAACAGTAGCCCAGTTCATTTCCTACATCTCTAAGTCGATATTTCTGATTGGAGCCTTTACTTTAGTGAAAAATACGATTAGGGTCACCTGTCCATCATTGAACCAGTAGTACACAATGAAACATTTCCATAATTCAGAAATGTGACGTATCCAGATAGTACACAGTACATGTAAAGATGCGGCCCCAAGTCCCCTCCCAATACCCCAGTTTGTGGATCATAGATAAATAATAATCTGGGTGCGGCGCGTGCGAAGTAGACGTATGATAGTGATTTAACGGATTTTACGCAAAAAAGTAAGATTTTTCATTGATATTCGTCGATTTTTCATTATAATGTGTTAGAGTTTGCTTTTTTTTCTTAATACTGACATGCATGATTACGTACAAAACATATTTGGATTTTTTTTTTACATTTTTACTTTAAGGTTTTTTTATAGGATAGGGTGACAAACGAGCACACAGTCCACCTGATGGTAAGTGGTTGCTGTGGCCCATAGACATCTACATCTATCCTAGTTTGCGAATCAAAATGCAGATGCGTTATCACCCGTGAGGGCTAAGATGGAATGCCTCTTTTCCAGTAAAAAGGGTCTCCGGTTCCCTACACTCACCATACGAAATACAGCAGCATTAAGCTGCTATTTTACGCTGATATTCTGTGAGACCGTGGTCCTTCCCCGGTCGAGCCGACCCATTCGTGTTACAACTGTACTACTAGTATAGCTGCAGCATGGCTCTACCACGTATAAAAGGTATTGAAATATATGACGTATGATGACATACAATGAAACAAAACCACGTTGTACACAATAAGCCATGTTTCATTGTGTACTAATTGCGTCGCAATGTTTACCATGTGGCCCATTGCTAGTGTTTTATGTTGTTTAGTATGTATATAACTACACAAATCATCCACTAAAAGCTTTTTCTTTTGTTTTTCGTTACATGTAATATATTTACAGATTAATTGTCATTTTTACTTTTTAATTTTAGATGGCACGCACTAAAGCCAACAAAAGCAATCTGCAACAAGAGCATCAGAAAGGCAGTTAAGGAGTGTAACTTATGCTATCCCATGCTACAACGTTATATAAAAAAAAATGTAACAGTACTGCGGATTAACAAAAGAAGCAGTGATGATGTCAACAAAATATTAACAAACTCAGCTAGTTTGTTGCAGGCAGACGTTGTTCCGCCCTTTTCGACGACCCTTCATATAAAAAATCCTTAAATTCGTAATAAAAAAAAATATTGAGTGTCACTTATCACGATAAAAACTATCCTATCTCTCAAGTTGGACCAAACTGCACGGAGTTTGCAAAATTTCATGGAAATCAGTTCAGTAGTTTAGGAGTTCATCGCGGACAAACAACGTGACACGTAATTTTTATGTGTAAAGATTACCAAGAAAAAGCATTAAAAATATCAAAGAATTTACATTAAAATCTTATGGATTATCCACTAAAGACGTCCGCAGCCTTGCTCATCAAATGACAATTATAAATAATATAAAAACTCCTGATAGCTGGAATCGGCTTCGGTCATTCAGATCAAGGAATCTGGATTTATCGTTGCTAAAACCAGAATCCTACCAGCCTTGCTCGTGACACCGCTTTTAACAAAGAGTGATGTGGATGTGGATGGTGGGGGAGATGTGATGACCTGGTAAGACATGAGAGTGATGACCTGGTAAGACATGAGAGTGACGCCTTGGTAAGATATGTAGGAAACGATGGATGCAGGTGGCTCAGAACTGTGCTTTATGGCATTGCTTGGGGGTGGCCTATGTTCATGAGTGGACTTGTGAAGAGTTGTAATGAAAATGACAATGATTATAAGACTGAATGTTATTAATAAAGTTAATGATAATAAAATAAGTTGACTAAGCTGGTTTTTTAGTGTTTGGTAATAATTTTGTTGATTTTATAACTATTCAAAAGCTTAATTTTTGTTTCAGTTTCTTATACTTTAATAAAACTAACTCGAAATAAAAGTAAAATGGTCTGTACTGTTTGATTATAATTAAAATAAACTAATATAACGAAGGTTATAAGCAAGGAACACGGTTTTATTAATGTAATTACCAAATTAATTGCCGAAAGCACAAATCCTGGCTCATCTATACAAATAAATAAAATTGAAGTGTCTGTTTGTAATGTCAAAATTACGGCTTTTTACTAAATGCATATGAAAGTATATACGATACTTATAACAAAAACACAATTTTTAAAATTTTTGTCTGTCTGTCGGTCTGTCTGTCTGTCTGTCTGTTTGTTCCGGCTAATCTCTGAAACGGCTGGACCGATTTTTACGGGACTGGCAGACAGCTGATGTCATGAGGAGTAACTTAGGCTAATTTTATTTTAGAAAAAGAATTAGGGTTCCGCGCAAAAACAACTAAAATCCCAAATAACACGCGGGCGAAGTCGCGAGGATCAGCTAGTTATTAAATATAGCTTAATAAGCTTGAGCGCATTCAAAATTTATGTATTAGATTCATATTTGGACTTCGCAAATATGATCACATCTCTGAATTTCGCAAACAGGTCAAATGGCTCCCGATCCGCCTTCGCAGGAATACTCACATTCTCTCCACTTTGTATAGCGTGCTGTTTAATCCTTCCACTCCTCATTATTTAAAAGACCGTTTCCAGTATCTTTCCCTTACCCATAATCGGTTCCTTCGATCCTCCGTCAATCTTTCTCTCTCTACTCCTTCGCACTCTTCCTCCTTTTTTAAGAAATCCTTTACTGTAACTGCTGTACGTTTGTGGAACTCTTTACCTCTCCACATTCGTCGTACTCAATCTCTTCATTCTTTCAAATGTCTTGTTAAATCGTATTACTTAGAACGCTATTAGATAAATCACTTTTCCTTTTTCGTACTCTTTTCATTTAATCTATTATATTATATCATACATAATCTTCACTTGCCTTTATTTGTATGTATTTTATATTTTTTATTTTCATTTTGTACGCCCCCTCTATTTTTAACTATTGTTTACATCAGTTCTCTACACTAAGGTTGTCTGGAAGAAATCACTTTCAGAGTGATAAGACAGCCTGTTGTACATTTTCTAATTTAGATTTAATTGTATTCGTTTTTGTTTTGTTTTTGGTGTACAATAAAGAGTAAATAAATAAATAAATAAATATAGCTGGGCTCATTGTGTACACACTTATGTACACAATGGATCATTTCTCATTTTTTTTAAAAACGTAAGGAAATATTTTAAGAAAAGTAATAATGCCAGTCTATAGCCAATTAAATTTGCTATCTTTGTCTAAAAACTTATATCTAATATCTTAAGAAAAAGCGGTGTTATTAAGTTCTAAATTTTAAGTGGCTCATTGTTGGACAGGTTACTCTATATTTAATGTTATAAATGTCCTATAAAAACTCCACTGCCGAACAAGGGTAGAGAGAGGTAGAGAGAGAGAGAGAGAGAGAGAGAGAGTGAGAGACCTTCGTTTGTTTGTTATTTTTAGTTGTTATCTGGTGCTACTGCCCATCACATCATGTTTAATGTTCTTCTGTCATCTCTTACGACAACCTCGGGATGATATGATGATATGGTGTGCATTCTCTTACGCCGGCACTGAGATGCGTAAAACGTAATGTAAGCCAATATTCTTGACAAGACTTTTAAATGTACTTTAATTAGCATCTAATGTCGCCAAAATCAGAGGAATATAAAAAAAAGAGGATTAAAACCAAAGACAGGCAAAGCTTATAATTTTGAGATTTCTGGGTGTCTAAAAACTGGCACTTTGTATTCTTCTCTCTAAGTAGATGGTTGGAAAACCAAGTATTTATGGAAAAATGTTTACTAAGTGTGTACCTACTTTAAATTCTAAAAAAATAACAATTAATTTGTCATTTTGCGATATGTTCGCGTAATAATACGGAAATAAGTATCAGGCGGTTTGTTGCATAACATGTTAAGATCTTACATCTTGATGTAACAAAATTCTGCACAATCATGCTTGCTTGCGTCGTTGATGACAATCACGATTTACCAAGGTCAGCAGAATAGTGATGTCACGCAATGAAATTAAAAGGGGGATATTCTACGTTTT